CATGATGTATCTTGGTTCTTATTTTTCCCCATTACATGTGCACCCTTCACCCCTCCACCCTTCCCTATTTACATACTTTTTTCCATTTTTTTCTTTTCTCATAATTTTTCCTTTCCACTCTTTCCTTTCCCTATCTCTTCCCACCAACCCTACCCCTTTAGACCTTTTCCTATTTCAAAGTATCAATTATTAGTTATTAATCCTTTTAGTCCTTACCTTATAATCCTTAGACTAGTATCATCAGGAAATATTTCAGTTCAAGAGGAAGGAAGGTGCTCAAGAAAGAATTTCCCTTTGCCTTTGTATGGCATCTATGTGTATAATCTATTTTGGAATCAATGTAAATTCAGTTTTTGGCTTGAGATTGTCAGCATACCTACATGTGTGAATCTAGGCTACAAACTCATGTCAGAACTAGTTTTGTTTATGAAATCTCAGGGAGATATCATTAACTTCACTTTTATTCTGAAGAGTGGATCTGTAGCACCATAGCTATTTCAGCATTTTCTCTTAGATCCCTGACCCTGGGAAAGCCCTGGTCTTTGTCTTTTGCTTGGATTCTAGAAGGCCATGGCCAAGAAATCCTAAGCGTCACATGTAGTAATTCCCTCAGGATTCAATAATCCTCTTAACACCAGGAGTCTCATCTTCACTGACATTTTAGTCTGATAGTCCTTATTTGCTTGTGAATTGATCAGTTTGAGAAGACAATCCATCTCACAATTTCAGAAATTTTTCAGTGGGAGGGTGGGTGTGACTTATTGCTAGAAATGGATGTACCATTGCTAGCTTTATGAGTGGCAAATATTGATAGTACACTGGAAGAACAACATGAAAAGGTTACCTTTGGGTTTAGTAATTTCCACAGAGTGGGTACGGTGCCAGCATAGGAAAGTCAGAGAGAGGGCTAACTCCTCTCAGTGCAGTTACAGGGGACAGTTAGAGCTGCTCCTGTCAGAAAGGTTAGTCTCCACGGGAGTCGTCAGTGTGCCATGTCTAGAATGAGAAGAGCAAAGCCAGCCTGAGCAGCTCAGACAGAGTTGCTGGAGAACATAGAGTTAAATTTGAATTTCAGATGAACAGTGAATTTTAAAATATATGTCTCAATATTCTCTTTCAGTCATTTGTCTCTCATTCCAGATATCTAAGGTGGTGTGGGTAGGGTGAAATATATGATTTATAAGCTCTCTATATGAGTAATCAAAAGCTTCTGATGAGCCCTTCTCCACCTTCCAGGTCAGCACACATCACCCGGAAGATTTTGTCAAACTGCAGATTCTGACGCAGTAGGTCTGGACTGAGGTAGGGGAGTTCCCATGTCTAACACTGGTGACTTCTGCTGTAAGTATCAAAATGGAAACTGTGGCAAGCAAGGAAAATTTCAAGGAAACATCTCTCTTCAATAAAAACTTCTTGTTGTCCCCTCCTGGACACCCCCTCAAGGCAAAAATATTTTTCTTAGCTATTGAGCTTTGTTATTAAGCATACACGTAAAGGTCATTGACAAAATGTGGCTATGTGTTTGATAGGCTGTATTCCCGTAGCTAGTGCTTCCTGAAGCATATTCTCAAAATGCCACCTCACCATTTAAAATGCTGAGGTATTGGAAGATGCTAATGTTCCCTTGACCACTTTATATAGATATAATTAGCTCAGCATACTTCAGAGATAAGCAGATTAAGACCAATTTGCCATATGTGATATTCCTGAGGGCAAGTTAACAAAATTGGAAGGGGAGGAGCTATTTTGGACAAACACATTTCTATTAGGTCACGGCTTATTTCTTTATGTTCTCTTGTATTTGAGGCAGAATTTGAACAATGTTTGGAAGCCTTGTAACTCCTAACTACACTGAGGAGAGTTTCATGCCTGTTGCATTTTCATATGAATTGCATGTGGCTCTTACTGGGGATAGCTTGGACTAGTAGAGATAAAATAAGAGGCATGCTAGAAAAACTTTCACATACTCTCATTTATGTTTTACTACCTTTCTCTCCCAACACCTGACCAGTTCCAGACTACATTTTCAAGAACAGATGAGAATCTCTGGAGTACTAACTTTATGAGTTTAGATTTTTCAACATTTTTCTAGAGTCCAGGAATGTTCTCTTAATCCTTCAGAAAACCTGTTCTCAGCATTTTCATGAAAGGACTGCATTGTCTAAATTCATGAGAAGTTTAGAATGTTTAAAATGGTATATAACATGGCTTTACTTATGAGTATGAACTCTATATCACCTTGTCATCCATTTTCTTCATTTATTGTTGGGAGATTCTATGAACTTTTTCATTTGCTACTATTTTCGTGGTAATTCAATATTTGTGGTTGTTTGCTATTATTCTAAACTTTTGCCTCACTTATTTTTCCTAGAATTATCAAGGAAATAAACACAGATTATGATATATTTAAAAAGCAACACTTAATAATTTACTCTTTTTTCTAATTTATCACAAGTCATTTCTTTGTATGTGAATGGCTGCATCTCATTAATGGCTCTTGTGATATAACTTTGTAATTAATATTTGTATATTAGCTACAGTATTCTGTTCTTATGGAGAAAAGGAATTAGACAGTATAAAATTGAATGTTTTAAAGCATTCAAGTAAACCAAAAATATTTCCTCAAAAATGTGTTGAAAGGATGTAACAATCCAGCATGTGATTTTAATTAATGTCCAAGTAACTAAAAATGTATTTAGTTCATAAAGAAAACATATTGACATCTAATTATGGATCATAGAATTTGGTGCAGCAAAACTGTAGTGCATCTGTTCAGTGAAAACATAATCATGGAGAATATGAAATGGCACAATATATAATGAAAATTTGAAATAATGCACAAATAAGCCCATTAAAAAAATCACAGTGTGAAACCAAATAGGGTTGGGATTTAGCAAGAGACACTTGGTAGTTCTAGATTTACTGATAACAGAGATTGTCAAATTCATCCGAAATTCACCCAGGGCGATAAATTTAGAGGGGGTGCAGCACCACACTCTCTCTTTTGTTTTTTAATGGCATTTCAAGTAGAAAGGAGAAGTTGATATCATTAGCTCTGTTCTATACTTTCAGATTTATAATATACAAATATAGAGATTGAACTAAGGGCTCTTTGGATAAATCATTTTTCTTTAATTAATGATGATAAACATTTAACACATGCCAAGAATGTTGATTGCACTTTTATGTCAGTCGTTCAGCTCCTTTTACTCCACACCAGCTCGGTCCCTTCCTCCCCCTCCAGTCTCTCTCACTGGAGAGCTCAGCAGTGTCCTTGATAGTCTGCTAATGAGTTTGCTTGGTTCTTGGTGGCAAGCAGACCTTCTGATCTCTTTCCGCTCCCACTTATCCTGTGCTTGACAGTAGTGGAACAGACTTGATCTTGCACCGTAATTGCCTTAACCATGAACCCCACAGGTTCCGGTTCAGTTAGTCTGAGGAAAACCAGAGAAATTGAATTTCTAATGAGATCCTAGATGAAGCTGATAGTGCAGGAGATCATATTTTGAGGACCACTGCCTGGGAGCCTTGTAAACAGTTCTAAAGTCAGTCATACCCCAAAACATCAATTCTCACAACCCTATGTTAGCATCTCACGGTCTTCCCAATCAAGCTAAACTTAGCAAGATATTTAGGATTGATATAATACACCCCTCCACCACGACCAGCCCAAATTTATCATCTATACTTGTTTCCAAGTTGTATCTTTCTGAGCATGTGATGCTACAACACAGAATAACTAACTCACCAATCTCTATACAGTGCAGATAGGTTTCTATGCTCATTCATCTTTGTGTTATGCAATTCTTTTTTTTCATTCGTTAATTTTATTGGTACATTTTAGGTATACAATATGGTGACATTCATCATTGGGAATTTGTACCTTTACATAATATATCTTGGTTCTTATTTTTTTCCGCATTCCCCTGTCCTCCCTTCAACCTCTTCACCGCTTTGTTTCCATTTTTCCCTTTTCTCATATTTGCTCCTTTCCACCTACCCCTGATACTTCCCCTTCCCCTTTGGACCTTTTCTTCCTATTTCACATTATCCATTATACATTTTGATTCTTATTTACACTTTCAGTTTCTCAAACTAATTCTAATCCATGCAAAAAGCCCTCTTATCTCCATGTTTTAGTGATTCCAATCTTTGTGCACATACTGCCTCACCCAGCACTCTGGATTCTCTCACTCATTTAGGTCATGAGTAATGCCTCACTTCTTTGAACTCCTTTAAGCACTTCACTTCTCTTACATTAATTTCTACTTTGCCTATTTTTTATTATTTTTACTGGAATACATGTCTAAATTATTCTATTATCTAGCAAAATATTTCAGAGCAAATCTTAAGTCTTATCTTTTCTAGCACAATGCCTTACAAGTAGAAGTTACTATGTGTAGATTTTTGTTATTTATATAGCAATCGTGGCGATCACTATGACAAAGAGGATGGGAACAGTTACTAAGAGCAGTTACTGCCTGTTAGACTCCTACTTTGTGGATAGGCATGATTCCAGCTTCACACATTATTTTACTCAACATTATTATCTCTATGAGACACTTTGTTCCCATTTTATAGGTGAAGAAAGTGAGGTACCATGAAGTTAAGTAACATGTCTACATCACACAGCCCCTAAGTAGAGTACCTGAGATGTGCTCTCATGTAGCTAAGTTTCAAGAGCTTACTTTCCTAATTTCTTAGATAATAAAGACTCTTTTATCATAAAAATAGAGAATCTTAAAACTTTGGAAGAAAATGAAGACTGCCTATGCAATCTCATCTTACACCTCAAAATACTGAGCAGACAATGGTGTTTACTGTCTTATATTGCGTTGCAGACTTGTCCTGTATATTTTTCCCGTTGTTAATTCTCAATCTATTCTCTGTATAAAGTCCTTTGCATATATGTCACAATGGCAAGTAGTCCTGCATACCCACAGTCTTGTTTCCATGACAACATGGTAAGGTAACCAGTTCCACGTGGACCCTGGGCCCCAGCATCAGTACCACCTTATGTGCCTGGGAAACAAAGTCGCACCATGAACCACAGTCAACTAAGTCTTCATGGCTCTCCAAGGACTGTGGTAGTTCTTTTTTATTTTATTTATTCTTTTTTAGTGCATGTTTGCAGTACATACAGTTTACAGTCATCTCGGGGAGTGGGTACATGTAGTTAATACAGCTTGTTTCTTTTTTAGTCTCCTTCCCTCCTGCCTCCCTCCTTCCTTCTCTAAGTGTTCATTCCCCATTTTCATTCTTGTCGATATTATTCATTTTAGTTGTCTATTACCTATAATGTTTACATTCATTGAGGTTATTAGTTTCCTGCACATGGTGTATCTGTAAATATTTCCCCTTCACTTCCTTCTCTCCTTTCACCTTCAGCCTCCTGCACCCCTTCCCATTTACTAGAGAAAAGTTTCAATATAGTGCTCTCCCAATCAAGGACCTGGTGAGTGTAGTTTATCACTGGCATTCCTTCAGTGTGTGTGGCACAAGGAAGGATAAAGGGCAGTTGAGTCTGTTCATGACAGCCTGGGGCTGGGTTTTACATAGGGTGTTGCTAAGGGACAAGGCAGGAGGAGAGACTTATTTGTATTCCCAGGGCTTTTTTTTTAAATCATGGTTCCTGTCAGAAAGATTAGTATAGGTAATTTTAATCAAGTAATCAAGTTACTTTTCTTTTAACGTACACAGAGTTTTGTTGTTCTAGTTTTTGTTAGTCTTAAATATAGTCCATAACCTTTCCAAGGAAAACCAAACAAAGCACCTCTATGACCGCCAGGGTTGACTTAAATTACATTCAGGATGAAGTTTTTTAACCAATGAATAAACATCAAAGTATGTATTTTGATACAACTGTAAAATTAAACCTAATACATCAGTTAACCTTAAACAAAATTATGGAAATATAAAATTTAAGTTACAAACATTAAAAATAAAGAAACATCTTTACTGAAACTGTATTTGTTTTGTTAAGTTTGAAAATAACACCTATACCTCTTTGTTTACTATGTCACTTGTCACCCTAATTTTTATGCTTTTTAGACTACAATTTGTTTTGTTATCATTATAATTATTTCTCCTTTTGAATGCATTGTTTCACTTAACTACCACTCTATTATCTTCATGGGCCAATAGATCTAAGAATATGTACAAACTATAAAACAGAGTAATACAAATGATAAGTAAGTGAAAAATTCTTCAGCCCTTATGCATTGTTTTGTGCCCTGATAGTGAATGGTAGCAAGATGGTTTGCCCTCCAACCTGCCCTTCACAGAATGGGGCGGGTGTGAATGAGCCATGCCCCTTCTGGTCCATATGTAACTCGCACTGTGAGCTTTTCCATAACTTCATTCAGAAGCATACTGGACATCATTTGACCTTCAGGCATTATTATGTGTTCAAATATAAACCATGTAGAGTTGTTTCTGGGTATCCACCAGGAACCCCCACAGATGCCAAAATCCATGACGCTCATGTCTTATAGAAAATGATATAGTATTTTCATATAACAAGTACACATTCTCTCATATACTTGATTAATTATCAGTTCATCTCTAGATTACTTATATCAGTACATGTAAATGCTAGTAAATAGTTGTAATACTGTATTGTTTAGGGAATAAGGACAGTAAAACATATTTACATACTCAGTAAAACACACTTTTTAAATTTTCATTTTTATTAGTACGTGTGTGGTATATAATTATTTGAATTATTTTGGGGAGTTGGAACATGTATATAATATATTCTCTTTTTATGCCCCTTTCTTTTCTCTCCTCTCCCTCCTTCCCTCTCTTGGTCCTTTTCCCATTTATAAAAGATCTATATTTCTGTTTTCTATTATCTGTCTTTCATTTTGCTCTTTAGTCGTACTTTGGGTTTGTCCTATAAGAGAAATCATGAGATATTTGCATCTCACTTATTTTACTTAACATTATGTTCACAAAGTGCATCCATTTTCCTACAAATGACTCAAATTTATCCTTCTTTATAGCAGAGTAATAGTCCATTGTGTATAAAAAGACAATTTCTTTCTAGGTATCTTCCCAAAAGATTTAAAGGCACGTCCATGTTTATAGCAGCATAACTCGTAATAGCTAAATTTTGAAAGTGACCTATATGTCTATCAACAGATGAATAGAGATAAAATTAAAAATATATATGGTTGTATATTTGGTTGAATTCTTACATTTAAAATCAAGGATACAAAGGGTCAGCTGTTCCTAGTCAAAAAGTGGCCAAGGAATACAGAAGGAATATGCTTACATTGGTATTATAAAATCCTTTCAGGAAAGAAAACATGAAATTAGATAAGGCTCCCCAGGCCCCAAAACCAAATGCATGGACTTGATGTTGGGGTCCTTGAAATCTTGCAACTACTCTTTAGAACACTGGTTTGGCTTAGGGTATAGAGTTTATTCAGATATAGAAAGAAAAGAAGAAAAACCTTGGGTCATGGACACTTTAGGGTATTAGAGGTTTGTTACGCACTGAAGTAAAATAGAAAGGATTTGAAGAAGGGGAGAGTCCTGTGTGGAGAAATTTGGAAGAAAAAGAGATAAAAATTGGTCCTGTTCTCTCTCACTTTGTGCCTTCTACTGGTATTCTCTTTGCCACTAGAAGCCTCATGGTAGAGACAATTCAGTGACATACAATAGGCTTGTTATTTATTTCTGATACAAGTGAAATGAATAAAACATATTAATATGCTCAGGGTGATTTTTTTTCTTCCTTCAGTGAGGGAATGTTCTATCATGCCTGCACGTTTCACATATGTCATTTTGCAATGGTCACTTTGGACTTCTAATTGCTTTAAATTCTCAGAATATCTTCATTCACATTGGTATTACTTGTTAGAACAAAGAAATAAAGCTCACTTTCCTAACTTTGGGAAAATTTTCTTTTTAAATGTCCTTTATGGGTATAAATCTGAATTGGTTCTAAAGAGTTCTATGTTAACAGCCTTTAAAACTGTTCCTCTTCAAACTTACCATGTTGTATAACAACACTTCTTGAGACCTAATCTACACCCTGCGTACTACATTTTATTCCTTTCCCTTTGTTCTGGCTTCAGCAATCTGAAGAACAGATGGCAGTCTTCTGTCAGTGCTTGAAGACTTTTTCCAAGAAACATTAAGCCTCTATTGGGCCTCGCTTGTTAATGCAAAAGTCCTTCTCAGGACAGAAGGTAGGAAAGTCTTTGAAGTCATCAGGTAAGTCTTGAAGGCATAATTTCCCTTTTTCTCACTTTCACTCACTTAATATCCTCAATTCTACTTTTCTCATCCATAGCTAATGAAATAACTTCAGATGTATGACTGTTAACCTTATTCACTTTGAGGTAGAAATGGCTTTTGAAGGATAAAATGTAGGTCACTGACAAGGGTCTTAAATTTAACAAAGACCATTTTTTGTGTGTTTAGTTCTAATTGCAGCCATGTTATTCCTATAAATTAGACAAAGGATGTTGCAGAATCCTTGTCCACACCACTGCAGTCATTCTGCATGGAAAACCAGTTAAAACGGTTTTCATGCAGTAGCTCCCTTCAGTTGTGATTCATTCAACAGATTTTCACTTAGCATGTAGTGTCCAGTAGAATCCAGTAGAGAACTGGATGATATCTCATAGAACTTACATTCTTCTAGGGATAGAAACACAATAAACAAACCAACGAGAACATAAAAATTCTATGTGTGAGAGATGTTATGCAGAGTATTAAAACAGGGTGGAGTGACACGAGAGCTACTTCAGACTGGAGAGTCCAGAAGACTTCTCAAGGAAGGTTGACATCTAAATTGAACAGTAAAAGAGTTCTGAACAATAAGAGAGAGGCAGCCCTAGGCAATAAGGATGAGGCAGCTCAGGAAGAGCAAGCTCACCCACCCTACAGACAGGGATAAATTTGGCTGTGAAAGGCTGGATCTAACTGAAAGGACAGTGAGGTTAGAGAGAAAAGGAGGGACAGGGCCATGGAGGACTTTGACATGCCAGGGTAGAAATTTAAGATTATTCTAAGCGGAGCAGGAAGCCACTGGACCGGGTTTTGCTTTAGTGGTATTATCATATCTATTTATGTTATAGCCAGAGTGATAAAAGGAAGACCAATTAGGATAGTGAGATTTTAAGTAATTAGTACGGTGGTGGGGAAAACATAGAGATTTCTTTAAAAGGGAGGATAACAGAGTCTACTGATGGGTTGAATGTGGAATATTAGGGAAAGAGGAAAGTGGACAGACTGAAAGCTTTACTGAGGGCAGTGGTTACTTTATTATTAGGGGAAGGAGAAACAGGTTTGGGGAGGAAAAACAAGCTTGTGTGACATTATTCAGAGCACAGGCTCCAAAGTTAGAAATACCTGAATTTAAATCCTAGTTTAGGTACAATGCACCTCTATGATCTTGAGCATAAAAGGAATCAGTATAAGCAGAGGATTATGAAAAATGGAAAAAAAAAACTCAATTCAAATAAAGCTAATGGTTCCCAACAGCTCAGTATTATTGTTTAAATTTGAGGTGAAAATTTAAAATCTGATATTTTTCTGCATTCTAAATTGTGATGTTTTGTGTTAATATTTTATGTTGCTACACTAGGGTATTACTCCATATTGCAGAGTTTAAAAATTAGAATTAGAATTGTTATTGCTGATTAATTTTTTAATTGAAAAGACACATTCCCTTAAATATACCACAGTGTTTTTTAACCATAGTAACATATTGTTTCCTAGTGATAAATTTGTATGCTAAGATCCGTAGACATTTATACTATTGTCTAGTACAAACATTGTTCATTTTTATGTCTTTATTATTCACTTTATTTCTGTACTTTTTATATTTTATTTTAAGACATCACATATAGGACTTGCTTATAAATTATCTATTTCTTCAGGTTTACTAATGAAAATGAGAATGAGAGAAGAATCAAGAAAGATAAATTGCATGTACGTCTTCCTCTCAAATAAATAATCATCCTCTTAAACCCGGCCCATTAACTTGTAGCCTGGCAGTAGGATTAATGATGGAAGCCTACTATGAAAGTAGCCTTTCCCTTTGACATATTTTACTCACTCACATTGAAGTCATTTAACACGATCAATTTACAAATATGAACGAGACTATCACAGTGCCAATACAGAAGCATGCATACCATAATGTCTAATGCATATTCTTTTTAGCTGAGGTAGAAAATGATTTTGATGGAGTAAGAATTTCTACATGAAGATAGAAGATAAAACTTCCTCAAATAAGCAAGAGGTATCTGTGGTTGAAAGCATTATAGGGTCCAAAATTCTGAGGAGAGAAATAGTTGTATATTTGCTTCAGAGAGACACTATTTATCTCTGTTGGCCAACATACTTTGAAACAACTATTTGGTTTTAATGGATATATATCTTGCCACTCTGCCATCAGTAATTTGAACAGCTTGAAATACTGTATGTCATCTTACATTGCTTTCTCTTTGTAGCAAACACAATCAGTGGATTGTTTTTCATTGATTTAAAAACATTGACTCGCTGAAGGATGAGCCTGTGTGCAGTCATAATTCTTGTTTTTTCCTCCTCGGCAAAGCCTGTGCTAATTCTTTGAGTTTTAAGCAGGTGTCATGCATCAGATCCAAGCGCTTAATAAATGCACCAGAAGTATATTTTCCTTAAGGCCTTGTGTTTATCCCATTTCCATTTATCTTGTGAAATAGCTTCCAATGCTTTCCTGAAATGCTGGGAAAGAGCAGGTTAGCATTTCCACTTGGCGCAGTGTTCTGAGTGTCAGGCTCTCCTGTCTATTTCGACCTTCACCAAAAGTAGTGATTCCCAACCTGTGCCAAAGTGCTCCTGAGGAGTCACGGAGCTATTGGACGGGGCCCACCAACACATATGTGCACCCAGCTTTTTAAACTTTTTTTGGTAATTTGAGTAACTATGCTGAACATTAAAATGTGCTGTTTTTTTCTAATGCATGTAAATGCTTCTGTGATCAATAAAATACAAATACCTATAAAAATTATTCAGAACTCATAGTATTTTTGTCATTTCACATTTACTCAATTAATGCATAGTCCAATTAATTATATTAGAATATACAATGTTGAATACGTTAAATTTTAATATAATATAAATTTGAATTATATAATGGTGAATGCATTAAATTTTAAGAAAAGATGAACTCATTAAACACAAGTATTTCACTGAAACAAAATTGAATTGATAATTTTTAATCACACCAATATGTGCATTGGTTATTAATAATTTCACATTCATTCCTTTTGATTAATTGCATATTAATTTATTAATAATATAACTAACAACAACCATAACAGCTAATGTACTGGGTACAAGCTGTGACTTAGTGCTCACATCATTTCTGTGGTTATTATCATTATTATTACTATTAATATTATTATTATTAGCATTTTACTAACAGGAAACTAAGACTCAGAAAATTCAAGGACCAGCTGGTAAGTGATGTGGACTTCAACCCTACTTTCAAATTGTTCTGTGGACTGCACCACATAGCAGGACAGCATGACAGGCAAGATGCACACGGCAGTGTTGAGCTTGATTCTAGAAGGGATTGGTTGGTTTGTGCAAGGACTGTGACCAGAGCGTCTTTAATTAATGGTAAATCTAATCAAGTTTAATTTTTCAAGGCATTTATTCTAGAAAGACTTGGTTGTGAAATCTGTGGAAACATAAATATTATGTAAACAAGGAAATTACTACTAAACCAGCATCTACCTATTAAGCATGTCTAATTTCAACCCAATGTTTTAAATATCAAGCGAGGGCAGGTAAAAAGTGAAAACCAAGTGATGATAGGAATATTAAAAGAGTAGGGAATCAAAAGAGGAAAGAACTATAAGCAGTTTGTAACTTTAAAAACTAAAAGACCTGGGTCATTGTCAGAGTCCCTGTAGGTTTTCAGTTCTTTTTTTCCTTTCTTAAAAGAAACTCTAATTCTTCTGGGGAACTAGGTGCAAGCCTTGGGTTTAATTTTTCTGGAGAACCAGGTGTCGCTTCAGTTTCTCCCTCTCTTCTGTCTCTGTCTTCTCAATTTTCTTTCTTCCACCGTGGAAATTCCTACTGTTTGTTTACAATCCAGAGTTTTAAAGAGGCTGAACTAAAATTGGCTGCTGCTGGGACGTCCTTGCCAATGGATGGGATCCAAATTGGCTCTGCCATGAGGAGGCAGCTATGCCCACATAAGGATATTTTGGCTTCGTGCTTCTCTCGTCTTGTTGCCAGGCAGACGATCATCCAGGAGTGGGAAAATGCAGCCAGGGCAAATGTTTACAGTGACAGTGGTCAGCTGATCGAAACACGAGTCTGAAGGAACAGCTATCTGGATGTTGTGTTTAAAGGCTCATGGAAAATTCTTAATACTGTTGGACAAATCATTCATTCTCTTCAGTTCCCAATTTGATAGCCTTCCTCTCTGTCCGTAGATAAAGCATCAGTTCATTCCTTCCAGTCTTGACTGTACTAGAGATAACTTTCTTTCCTAATGTGGGAATAGAAAAAAAATTCTTCGAAGCTTCTGTCATGTTACAGTCAAGTTTAGGAGAAAGAAAATTTTCCCAGCTCTAGAAGAAATGTTTCCTTTCAGGTGTCTCTCATGGACTCACATGTTACCTGAAGATGGGAAGACAGGGTGTGTGTACAAAAATCACATGTGCAAAGCATATGTGTAAAACACAGACATATATACAGTATTTATGTAAAGATATCTCTATCTAGACTTTCCAGCCTAGCTCCTAGTTAAGCCACAACTTTTATAGCAGGAAAGCAAATGAGAATTGCCTACATTGCCTGTTTAAGTGAAGGAGCCACACAGATGGAAAAGAGGCACAGACAAATGGCTTTTGGCTCAGCTTTGCTTTATAACAACATCAGATATTTTTAGTCTCTTTTTCTTTATGCGTTGTGCATGTTTCTGCCTCATATAGAAAGTCATCACACATTGTCTCCATCAATTTTCACCCTCTACTCATAGGCCTATTTTCAGATTTCATTTACCTTTTACCATTTCAGTTACCATTTCTGGGATAGAAAGGTATAGCAGGGAAAGTTCATTGTTTGCATGGGAACGATGGGGAAATAGAAATAGTTGAGTGTCATGGAAATAGTTCTCAGTAGAGGAGAGAAGTTTATGATTAGAACCCCAAAGGTTGAAGAATATTTCTGGTTATCGCCAGGTAGATTTCCAAGATAGATGGAGT